AAAGCATTCGGCTGTATAGTGATTTGATACGCTGCTACCCAACACCCGACTACTGAGTTGAGATGCTTTTAATACTTAACTGATACTGCTTTTTTTAATTTAAGAACTCTTTTATTTACCTTTTGCTTGATTAATTTATTCTTATGCTAATGTGATATTGATTTAATTACAGAGGCATTTTAGAATATAAAATTAGCCAGTCCTTTACTACTATTTTTTGTTTTATAGGTTCCTTTCCCTTTCTTTTTCCTCTTCAATCCCTTCACCTTCTCTTCACGTCCTCTCTTCTCTTCTCTGCTTCCCTCTCTTTTTCCATCCTCTCTCTTCTTGCCTGAGCTAGCGTCTTTTGCTGCATTGAAACACCATAATCCAAAAGCAAGTTGGGGAAGAAAATGTTTATTTGGCTTACACTTCTATATTGCTGTTCATGACCAAAGGATGTCAGGACAGGAACTCAAACGGTGCAGGAACCTGATGTAGAGGTATGGAAAAGTGCTGCTTATGGGCCTGTTTCCCGTGGCTTGCTCAGCCTGCTTTCTTATAGACTCAGGATCACCAGTCCAGGGTTAGAACTACTCACAATGGGCTGGGCCCTCCTCCATCAATTACTAAGTAAGAAAATGCCTTACAACTGATCTTATGGAATCATTTTTTTTTTTCAAATGATGTTCCCTTCTTCAGGTAACTCTAGTTTGTGTGTCAAATTGACATAACTGTCTAGCACATTTCCTGTTCTCTCTTCACTCCTTCCCCTCTCATCCCCTCCTCTCCCTTCTCTTTTCCTTTCCTGAGACAGGCTCTCACTATGTATCCTTGGTTGCCCTGGAACTCACTATGTAAACCAGGTTGCCTTGGAACTCAGAGGAGATCTATCTACCTGTTCCTCTGGAATGCTGGGATTAATAAAAGGTGTGTGCTACCATGCCCAACTTCATAGTCTTTTTTTATTTCCTTTTCTTGTTTTAGATATTTATCTTTATAATCAACTTCTCTCTAAATTTGTTCGGTTAATGTATGGAAGCACACACAAGGCCCTAACTGTTGTCAAGTCTCTGAAGGCTCTCTATAAAACAAAAGATTAATGTTAAGTAGAGATTCTTTTTAGTTTTTAGGAAGGAAGCTTTCTCAATAACACAAAAGTACTAAGTGGAGCAGGAATGCTGATGTAGAAGCTGAAGTTATCCAGAAGATCTAGCTAAGTAAATTTAAGAAAGTGGTAATTAGACAGCTTTCTTTACCTGTAAAAGAGTACTTGAAAATGATCAACTTAAAAAGAGGGTAGGTTTATTTATTTTGCTTGAGGAGTATATGCATGTGTGTGCGCGCCGAGTTGCCCTTGTGTGTATAGGGCAGAATTGCCCTCTACCTTAACCCAGAACTTGGTGTTTTCCTAGATTGGCTAGCCAGTGAGTCCCAAGGCTTCTTCATCTGTCTTTATACGGGGGTATATGTCATTGTCCTTGGCTTTTATATGAATGCTGAGGTTCATACTCAGGTTCTCATAATTATAAAGGTCGCACTTTATTCAAGGAACTATCTTTTTAGCCACCAAAGGTAGGTTTATTTTAGTTGAAAGTTTTGGAGATTCAGTCTATGGTTATTCCTGTTGGGTCTTTAGAAACACTGTACATCATGGCTGAAAAGTTCACAGATGAGAAAGGTGGTTACCTTATGGCAGCAAGGAAACAGGAGACAAGAAACTACCAGAGACCCTTGATCCCCTTCAAGGTATACAAACAATGACATGGGAATTATTTCAGGACACTCCCACCAGTAACACAAGCCTGTGACCAAGCTTTTATCTATGGCCATTGTAAGACTTCAAACATGTAACCATGTTGTTTAGTTTGGTAGATACACTAAACAGATTTTCAGTGTAGATGGAACAGCTGTGTATTAGAAGATAATGCGAGATAGCTTTTGAAACTGTGTGTTATGTGACCACACATGGTTGTTAATTGAATTAGAAAGTTGTGAAAAATTAGCAAACATAAAACTTTATACACATGAAATCACCAGGTCTTAATTCATACTCAAGTACGTGATGAATTTAAGGTATTTCTGGTTCTGTTCACTCATGTTACATCGCACAACTTCAGCCTTGGTTCTGAACACATAACGTACATACTTTGTACTAACTATACTGTCATGCTACGCAGTATCAATGAGTGCTATCTTAAACATCTTGGCTCAGATTCAAAGATATTTCTTATAAATTGCAGTGTTTTTACTGTACATACAAAATTTTCTATGTAGAGAAACATAATTACCTAATTCTGGAAAACAAAGACTTTTTTAATAGTTTCCTACCAATGCTCTGTGTAAGTACCAAATTAGTAGATCTTTACATTGTATTGTGTTCGAATGCTTGATTGTAAAAGTTGCTGTCTGAGAGCTGACTTGAGTCATATTAAAGAAATGATAAATGAATTTGGGCTTAGGATTAGGTCTGGATTGTCAGCAATTTCTGAAAGTCCCCAAACACACTTCCGTCATTTTGTACTATGTATTTATATGAAGGAACATTTTCAACATTGATGATTATAAAAGCAAAATGTTAATCAACTCTGAAAAACACAGAACATATTCTGTGTCATACATCATACAATATTCAAACAATATATAAATTTCTATGTAACAATAAAAGAATATATATGGAGATTTGTTTTCATCTTTAGTCAGCAGTAAAATTAAATTTATAAGGAAGAATTAAAGTAAATTTCCTTACAGCTATCATCAGTAAGTGATTATACCTGTTGTGCATACCTATATATCCAGAATCATGTAAAATTTTTCAAGTGAAAAGGAACAAAAAGAAAAGAAAAAACGTTTAAAGAAGTCCTGCTGTAACTCAGATAGCCAAAGAAGTTTGTAGCAGTCCAGGCTGACTCTTATTAGAACCTTGTCTACCATTTCTGAAAAATCTAAGGTCTTTAAGAAGTCTACCAAATATCTATCAAGCTTTACTAGTAGAACAACACCTGAATGATGGAACATCTGTTCACAACATGGTTTGCTGGATCCAGTCTTGAGACATACTGCTTAAAGAGAAGGATTCCTTTCAAAGTATACTGCTTGCTATCAGTGGGCCTGTTCATTCAAGGGCTCTCATGAAGGATTACAGTGAAATTAATGTTATTTTCATGCATATATAGCTATTTTTCAGTAAGCAGTGACTTAAAACTTCATGTCTTATTATTTGACAATTTTATTTTATAAAGTGATTCTTGTCTTATAGGTAGTAATTCCCTGATAGACCCAGGAAAATTATATTATCTTTTTTTTTTTTTTAAGATTTATTTATTTTATGTACGTGAGTACACTGTTGCTGTCTTCAGACATACCAGAAGAGGACATCAGATTTTATTACAGATTGTTGTGAGCCACCATGTGGTTTCTGGGAATTGAATTCAGCACCTCTGGAAGAGCAGACGGTGCTCTTAACTACTGAGCCACCTCTCTTGCCCTGGAAAGTTATATTATAATAGCAATAAAAAAATACTTGTAGTGTATAGGAGGATTCTATAAAAAATAATATGTATGGGAATTTGAAGTAGATTCTAACTGCATGGTAAACTTTAGTAGAGGAATTAACTGAAGATGTAGTAAAAGAATTATGCACAGAGCCTGGGAATACAAATGAATTGCTATAACCAATTTTAAAATAGTAAGAGTTAATGTCTTATGAATAAGTATACTTCTTTTTAAAAGACCCTGGGTAGATACCTATCACGTCTACTTAGGAAGTTAACAAGTAGACTTCTTGAATCCAAAAGTTTGAGGCCAGCCTCAGAGCATAGGAGGGGTGAGTGAGCCTCTAATGAGAAAAAGAAAAGTGGTTTTTGAGATAAATCTACTCTTGGAGAAGACGCTATCAAATATTGCTAAGTAGTCAACAAAAGACAAATACATTGTCTAAACTCAGTTGATAATGAGGTTTGAGAGTTTTATTCCAACTTTTACTAATACCATAGATTTTCTCCTGTTTGGTGCTAGGAATTGAATCTAGGGTGCTGTTCATGCTAGGCAAGGACTCTAGCACTGAGCTGCATCCTGAGTTCATTTCAGATTTCTAAAAGTTCTGATTCATGTTGTAGCATGTGATGCTGTCTGAATAATATTCCAAAGAAGTCTCTGAAAAGGAGAACCCAAATGATGTGGCAACTTCATTGTTGTCTTTTTTTTTCATTATTAGAATATATTCATTGTACAAAATAATGGGTTTTACTGAGATTTTTATACACAGATATGATAAACTGTGACTATGTCATCTGACTGATCCACTCACTGTTCACTGTCCTTTCTGCCACTTGTCCTCTTTCCTTTTTCCAGCTCATTTTTGACTTCTGGGCCTTATGCTTTATACTAAAGAGAGATAGTTGTCTTTATTAGTTTCTGATCTCTCTAGGTATTCTACCAAAATAGAAATATTGTATGTTTGTGAGTACACAAAGTTTTCCCTTGATGTATGACGTGTACATTCTAGAATTTCCAGTAGACATTTAAAACTCCAGATAGTAAGGAGCTCCACATACAGTTTTTCCTGTACATATTATCATATAGTGCCAAGCTTGATCTGACATATCTTAATCTCTTCTCTATTTTACATCATTACTTTTTGTGCTTTGTAAGTTGTTTTTGTATTTTCAGACAGTATTTCATGTATTCTAGGCTGGCCTCAAATTTGGCATGTAACTGACAATGATGTTGAACTTCTGTTCTTTTTGTCACTTTCCAGATTCTAGAATTAAAGACATGTACCAATACCTCTTTCTGTGCTGTGCTAGAGATGGAACTCAGGGCTTTGTATATGGCAACTGAGCTAAATCCTTAACCCTTTAATGAGTTTTTAAAAATCAAGTATTTATAAGTAAAATATTTTATATTAGAGAGATGTTACAACTTGGTAATCTTTTAAAATAGAACAAAGCCACAAAGCAATGAAAATTTTATATATATATATATATATATATATATTGTGTTTTTTTTTTTCTTTTCAGGAGTTTCTTTGAGTTGCTCCTGTTCTTTGGAAGAGATGAGTTTTATGAAGAACCCTTAAAGGATATTCTTGGCTCATTCCAGGTAAGATAGTTCACTAGTTTATATTTTATGCACACACAAGTCAGTTTGATTCTCTCTCTAAAAATAGTTTGTCATATTAAGTTTTTGCTTAAAAGTTGTTATGGTCACTTCAGTGACAGTTTTAAAGATTCCTCTATATTGGCAGGTAAAAGAAAATCATGAAATCAATTTTAACTGAATTCTCAAGCAACTTCTATCCAGGATTCTAATGTGGTTGCCTAAAGAACCTAAGTATGTGTGGGAACATACTAACTTTTTCCCTTCCCCTGGTGAAGAAGCAAGCTACTTGCCCTGTTTCTTTTTCTTTTGGCTATCTGCTGATTTTCCCATCTCATGGAACTTCTGTAGGTTGTTGTTCTTGTTACGAAACAAATCTAGACAAGAATGTCAAAGAATTGAGGTGGCTTAGTTGGCAAAATGCCTGCCCTCAGAAGCACCAGGATTTGAGTTTGGCTTCTAACACCCATAAAATCTATTAGGGGCTGGATAGATGACTTAGTAGGTAAAGGTGCTTGCTGCCAAACTTAATGACTTGAGTTCAATCCCTGGATCCCACATTGTGTAGGGAGAAAAACAACTATCAATGAGTTATTTTCTGAATGCCACATGTGTGTTCACACATGTATACCAAATAAATTATTGTAGAAAAAGTTCTAGATATAGATTTACACTTCTGTAATTGTTGTGCTAAGGAGGTGGTAATGGGCTGATGCTACTAGCTCACTGGCTATCCAGTCTAGCTGAGTTGAGAAGCTTTAGGTTCAGTTAAAAGACTGTCTCAAAAATAAAGTGGAGAACAATTGAAGAAGATAGCCACCATCAACCTCTGGCTTCCACACTCATGAGCACACTTCCTTGTGCACCTGTATACACTTGCATACATGCATGTGTACATACAATGCACATAGATGACAAAATTTCAAGACCCCTTCTATCCATCTACAATAGTTTGGTTCTTTTAGTCATTTCTTTAGAAACAACACATAGTACACTGTTCACCCATGTGTTTTCACTGTTATTTCATCAGCACTTCTCTGGGTTGGAGTAAAACACAGCAGAGTTGGAACACTCCAGGGGCTGATCATACATGATCATACTTGTCATATAGAACATTACTATAGTATTAAAGACTTATAGCTAATCAGGAGTTTGGCTGTATTATGAAAATTATATTTAGCATTCTACTGTGTCCATTCTTAATTCAACGAAATAGATCAAAAAAACCTGTTTTCTAATATCAGCACTTGGTAGGTAGAAGCAAGCAGCTAAGTTTGAGACCAGCTTTGTCTTCATAGTGCTTTTTACATCAGCCAGAGCTACAGAGTGAAACCCTGTCTCAAAAATATATAAGTAGAAGATATCAGCAAATCAAAGCAAAAGCAAATCTACTTCGATTACATATTCAAGTTTTTAACAATTATTTTCTGTTTCACTTTGTCTTTCACACTAGTTGGCAATATACTTGTCTTAGGTTTTAATGCTGTAAAGAGACATCGTGACCACAGCCACTCAAAGCAAAACATTTCATTGGGTCTGGCTTACAGTTTCAGAGATTTAATCTGTTATTGTCATGGTGGGAAACATGGTGGGTGCATGCAGACATGGGGCTGGAGAAGGAACTGAGAGATCTACCATCTTGATCCTCAGGCTGCAGAAGAGAACTGAGACCCAGTTCCTCCATTAAGCCACACCTAAGAGCTTCTGGGGACAATTTTCTTTCTTTGCTCAGGAGGTATTCATTGAGTGCCACACCACTACTACTACTGTTTTCATTCCCTTCCATGAAAAACAATAGTAAGTGGAATAGTAAACTCCTGTAATTATGACAGAAAGACAACAAGACTTTTAAAGTGACTATTTTGGAAAGCATTGGCTGCCTTAGAGATAAACCAAATAGGAGATAGAGAATGTTGTCACAAGGGTACTGGAGAAGGACATTTTTTTGTTAAAGGAAGTTCTCTTTGAGTATGTCCTAGAGGTGACAGTTGTGCACTGATAATGGGAACCATCTAAGTGAAGACACTGAAAGATTTTTTTAAATTTGTTTTTTTTTAAATATATTTGTAAAGTTTTGTGCGTGGTATATATGGGTGGCTATGTCTGCATGCATATTTTTCCAACTTCAACTAAGGTTTTTTTTTTTTTTTTTTTTGCTTTAAATGGATGTAAATATTTGTGAAGAGACATACCTGTATATTTTCTCTTGTGAACAGAAGTAATAAGTTACTAAAAATTTCCCACAATAAGGAACAGAAAATATCCCATGTGTACACATACTTTCTGTCTTCAATCCTTTCAGTATCTCTAATTCTGGCTGAAATAGAAAGTCTATCCTCATTACCCCTTTCTCCCTACCAGTTTTAAAATCTCTTCTGCCAGGCAGGCATGGTGGCACATGCCTTCAATCCCAGGACTTGGGAGCCAGAGGCAGGTAGATCTCTATGAGTTCAAGCCCATCCTGGTCTACAGAGCTAGTTCCAGGACAACCAGGCTATAAAACAGAGAAACTCTATTTGGGGAAAAAAAAAAAAAAACAAACCTAAACAAAAGAATAAATAAAAAAGTTTAGTTTTGAACTGTGTAGTACTGGCTGGCCTAGAATGTACCATGTATCCTAGGCTGATCTCGATTTTGGGGCAATGCAACACCTTTGTGCCAGTCTCCCAAACATTAGGATTAAAGGTATGGATCATTACATATAGCTCATTTGAGCCTTCTAACTCACAAAAGCTTTAAAACCTCTGGGTTCCATTTTAACTTTACCTGGAATCAACTCTCATTTTCTGACCTGAGTTACTGCTGTTGGTATTCCCCAACCTTCTTACCTTTGGGATCTAGCAAAGGCCAACATGCATTCTTATTCTGTAACCTTCGTAAGAGCTTGTGTTTGCAAAGCCTGGAAAGCTTCCAGTTTTTTGACAGATTATTGGTAATATAGTTATAATCTAATGTACCCTTGAATTATTTTTAATATACTGTCCCTGAGTGTCTCACTTCTGTCCATTTTTTGTAGTGTCATACTATATGTAGGTTTACAGTTGTATTCTTTCTCTTCCACATTAAATGGGACAAACTCTGTTGCTAATGTCTTAATGTATACTACATTACCTGAGGACCAAGTTAGAATTCAGATTATGATTTAGGAGTGTAAAGTGGGACCTGATGGTCTGCTTTGTAACAGGCTTCTAGATTATATTGATGTTGCTAATCCCTAGATCTGTATTTGATTAAATTTATGCTCCCCTATTACATGACAAAAATAAATGACTTCAGGTCTTGTTGGGTGAGTTTTGGGGTTTAATGAATGATGACTCACCAGAGCTGCTTCACTGGAGTTCACTGTACAATGTCGAGACAGTTCCAATGGAGTCTTTGCTTCCCAACAATTATTTACTGTTAATATAACCTCCTTCATTTTGGAGGGCAGAGGGTTAAATCCAAAGGAAAGAGCTCCAATCATCCATATGTAGTGAAACAACAAATGGCTCAGCTTTATAGTTCTTTCTACCTCATGCTAGACAAACTGTATCTTTTATTTAATAGTTTCCTTCTGCTGGCAAAATGCCCCTGACACTGCTTTTAAGACAAATAGTGACAACCATAGGATTCAAACATAGTTTTTAAACTTACTCAGTTCTTTCATGAATTTCTGACTACCTAAAATTGGAGTTTCTCAAGTATAAGTTGTAAACTTTGTTTAAAATTTCCTGCATAAATTAAGGGGACTGTGGGACTGTGAAAGGATAGCCTGGTTTCTGGTGAAGCAGATTAATATCTAATTAAATGACAAAAAATGCACAATGATCAAAAATTAATTGTGCATTCCGGATGAGGGCCAGTCTTAGGGTTTTACTGCTGTGAACAGATACCACGTCCAAGGCTACTCTTACAAGGGACAGCATTTAATTGGGGCTGGCTTATAGGTCCAGAGGTTCAGTCCAATATCATCAAGATGGGAGCATGGCAGCATCCAAGCAGGAATGATGCAGGAGGAGCTGAGAGAGAGTTCTACATCTTCATCTGAAGCCACCAGGAGAAGATTGGCTCCCACATGGTTAGGAGGAAGGTTCCATTGCCCAGTTCCACAGTGACACACTTTCTCCAGCAAGGCCACACCTATTCCTAATAGTGCCACTTCCTGAGCCAAACATGTTCAATCCACCACAGGGTCTTATGCAAACTACTCAGACAAGAAACTAGATGTTGGGGTTTGTCTGGGAAGGCAGTTAGTCTTTTATTCATTTCCATTGACCAACTTGTCTGTTTCTACAGCAAATACCATGCAGTTTTTCTTATCATTACACTGTAATATAGCTTGAGATCAGGGATGGTGTTACCTTCAGAAGTTCTTTTATTGCTCAGGATTGTTTTAGCTATCCAGGATTTTTTTTTATATGAAGTTGAGAATTACATTGTGTTGGAATTTTTATAGGCATTATATTGAATCTGTAGATTGTATTTGATAAGGTAGCTATTTTCCATATGTTAATCCTACTGATCCTACTGATTCTGAGCATGAGAGATCTTTCAATCTTCAAATGTCGTCTTCAATTTCTTTTTTCATAGATTTGAAGTTCTTCTCATACAGGTCTTTCACTTGCTTGGTTAGTTTCACCAAAGTATTTTATATTATTTGTGGCTATTGTGAAGGGTGCTGTTTCCCTAATTTCTTTCTCAGTCTGTTCATCATTTTCCTAAAGGAGGGCTACTGATTTTTTTTTTTAATTTTGTATCCGCCCTCTTTGCTGAAGGTGTTTATTGGCTGTTAGAAAATTCTCTGATAGAATTTTTGGGGTAGCTTATATATACTATCGTATCATCTTCCAATAGTAATAGCTTGACTTCTTCCCTTCCAGTTTGTATCTCCTAGATGTCCTTTGTTATTTTATTGCTTTCCCTAGAACTTCAAGTGTTATAATAGATAGGGAGTATGTGGGCAGCTTGGTCTTATCCATGATGTTAATAGAATTGTTTTAAGTTTCTGATTTTGTTTAATTTGA